GGAATCTGTTCCTGCTAGAAAGTTACTTGGACCAGAAAGAGAAAAAAATAAATTTGCATTTCTGTGATATACAGTATAAGATGCCTGTCTTTGGAGAAGATCTCCATTCATTATGGATATCTTCTATTCTTTGGCCCATAGCAGAAATATATTGCATATGTTTTTTCCAGGTACATTAACCTGTTAACTTGTGTTAGTCAGTATTGTCAGTCTACTAGACAGAGTAAAGAACAGTAATAATATACAACTAATGCACCTTGTGAATCATAGAAAATTAATACTAAATAATTTTCTGCCTAGTAGTTCATAAGCATGAATTATTACTAGGGTGCTGTTGTTTGGAGCAAGCAGCCACTTTGCTAGCTCTTTTCTGGCAAAAACATCTGGAACAACTGCACACACTTGGAGGGGCAGAGGAAAAGGTTTCCCAGAATGAAAAGGTTTCTGGAAGATGAAAGTTATTGGAATTCTAATTATAACTCTGAAATTGATCACTGAAATATTTCTGGTGAAAGCAAACAAGGAAGCAAGAAGTAAGAAAAACAAAGAAAATAAAGGAAAGGAAAAAAGCCAACCATATGTCTTCCAGCAGAAAAATGAGTCAAGAAAATGCTTCTCTGATTGCTTCAGTTTATTCTGAATACATTGAAGAGATTTAGATATCAGATTAGCCTTTTCATTTAAATGGAAATAAATGAAATTAAGTCATTGACTACTGAAATGAAATTGAATGGGGCAAGTTTAGCTAGTACAGCAGAAGACACAAAAAAAAGACCAGAAGGACCACTGAACTTTTAAAATCAAAAAAGATCACTCGTGATTTCAGCTACTTGGAGGGAAATGGTGAGGGGGATAGAGTCTCCAGTCATGGCAATGTATCAGCAGCAAGGAAGAATCCTGGACCTCCAAATTCATGCACTTATAAAGTGTCTTAAACACTTTGGTCTCCAGCAGATACTTCTCAGTCTCTGAAGAAATACTAATCTCTCTCAAAACAGGTATAAGACCAGGTACACATCTAGCATTGTTTCTCTGTGGATGATGCATTTTGCAATGGAAAACATACCTATGCAATGAAGAATGTGGAAAGCAAGGTTAAAAAGCATCAGAGATTTTGTTTGTAAGGTATTTTGCTACAGAATCAGTCCCAATAAGTAGATATTTTGGGATAGGCATCTTCAGATCTGAATTTACAGGAAAAGAGAAGAATAATTAATTAATTATTCTCCAATTATTAATTAATTGTTCTCTATTTATTTATTTATTTATCTTTAACATGATGATTGTTTAGTAACTTTTTGGAAAATAATAGCAGTTTGTTAGGTCACGACAATCCCATGTGACAATAAAACAGGATAGGAAGAAAGCAAGGAATCCATAAAATACAATCTTTTCAGACTTTCCCTGTCTCAAGGTTGGTTCCAGGGTATTGAAATGGAATTGCTATTACTGAACGTTAAGCATTTGTCAATAGAATCTGCATTTGAGCGGTGATCTACAAAAGCAGTTCACGGACTTATCACAGGTCATATGAGGAGAATGCCATAGGATCATAGTCTCATAGAAAGGAAGGAGAAGGAATTCTTGCATATAGCATCCTCGTATTTAGGAAGGACTTCACCTATGTTTCCAGGCAATTGCAGTGGTATTTTATCTTGCTCATAGATTTGCTAATTAAAAAGAAAAATAATAACAAAAATTTCCTGGAAGGACTAGTAGTTTGTTGAAGACTTCCAGGCTTCAACCAGTTACGCTTGGGCCCAGTAATTTGTTGTTTTGTGTTTTTTTTCTGCTAAACGATTTATCTGCATTTCAAGGTTGAATTAGTTGGTGAGGAAGGGTTACTATATATATGCCTCTGAGAACTTCTTTTATTTATTGGCATATGCCTAAGCATTTTGTAAAATAATGTTTTAGTGGAAAACATTGATTGTGTAGCTCAGTTGATAGGAGTTAGCTTTTTCTTTAATTTGCTTTTATGCAAGCAGTAATATTTCACAATACATGGGATGGAATGTATTCATATCACTAAACCTCCAGAAAAATGAATCACTCATCTGTCTGCAGCATAACTGAGGATAAACAGCAGATAACCAGAAAATAAATACATTTTAGGCCACAGCTGTAAGATTAATGTCTGCTGTCTTTACTTGGGCAAACATCTCTTTGAAGTTAAAAATTTTGTCTAAACAGAGACACTGCGCTGAGTTTCTGTATTGACTGAATTACCTCAGGTTAGTTTCTTTTTCTTTTTTTTTTTTTTATATAAAATGTTTGCAGCACTGCATACAACTAATTTTTTCTCTGCTAGCTGTAGCCAATTATTTTGGACAAATAAGCATTCTCCTCTGCACGTGTAATTTCTATGCCAACTGAGCCTGTGAATGTCTTTATTCATTCTGTGTAAACTCCACCCTTGTCAGTCTGTTGTGTTGAAAAATGTTCCTGCACACTGAAAAGATGACTGTGCCATGGATTACCTGCACAGGGATTCTGAACTCCTCTCATGGAGATGTTGCACCATATCCAGTTACTACAGTTTAGCTGTATTATGCTGTATGTGAAAGATATACTAACATGAAAACCTATGCCTGAGTGCCAGCTACTGACAAGAAGCTACAGAAGCTTGATATGCCTAAAAGAAGGCAGTTGCTAATGAAATATGGCAAGTCAAACCTTGATCCAAGGTAGAAAAGCTTTTCTATGTGTTTGTCTGATATTTGTCATGCTTTATGCTGGGATAAACTCCCACTTTGATCAAAACACATCTTAGTAAAGTTGTCAAAATGAAATAAGAAAAGAATGAGGGGATGTCAATTGCTGTTTCAAACACCATTCATTCTGAATCAAAGAAAATGTTAATTTGTGTCAGGAAGCTGAATTATGTAAATGTTGAATGTGTTTGTAGCAAAGACCAAGTCAAAGCTACAGTGTAAATGAAGCAGGAACCCCTTTAACACTGGAGTAGTTTTAATGTACATCTATATATGGAAATGAATAGGAAATGAAGCAAGAAATACAATGTTTGGGAAAGAATCTTGTCATAATTTGCAGAGATAATTACAGGCAAAAATGAGATTGAATATAGCAACAGGAAAAGCAGAATAATTATGCGGCAATTAACAGGAAAGCTGTATGGTTCTTTGAAAAAAATAGCAGTCATCAGGTTAAAAATATATGCTGGGTACAGAAATGTTTTAATAGTCAATACATCAAGTATTTGAATTCATTTCCTAAGATAAAATATTGTTTCATAAAATAGATCTCATCTATAAGATGAAATATATTATGCAGTTTATGTATTCATTATAAATGTTTGTATTTTTATCTTTAACATGTCATCTGAATTGGAGGAAAAATAACATGTTAATTTCAGACTGTGGATACATAGTGTAATACTAAGAAGATGTAGATTTTAAGTTAGTGTTTCAAGGACTGCAAATACTGTAGGAGCCAGTAGAAAAATAACTACTCCTAGATTTGCAACAGAATTAGTTTCTTATGTCCTAAAATCTTCATATTCTGATAAAAACTATTACCTGCTTTTATTTTACTGGAGGCAACCCTGTTTTTTGGTGTTTTTGTAGGTCTTCTACTTTATTAGTTAGCAACAGCACAGTCAAAATTACTCTTTCTGAAATGTAACATACAAGGATTTCTCTTGCAATTTAGGGAATCTCAGATGGTACTTTTCATGGGGAGCCTCTCATGTAGTGGCACCTTCAAGTGCATTAAAATGACAGCTGGGGCTCGCTGTGCTCAGGCATGGGACCATCTTGGTGAAAAGAGAAAGGAGAAGCCACTGTGTATGCACGTCAGTATAGGATAGTTTTCAAGAGGTGAAATCTTTCTTTTAAAGCTAGTGGGAGCAATTAATCCAGATAACAATTAAAAAGACAAGGTGTTTTGCGTAGTGTTTCTGGACAGAGGGACATTCTCTGAATTGTACCGTTTGTATAAACACGTTGTCAACAAACATGTCTATCCCTGTCTTTCTTAAACATTGAATCTGGATCTGAGGTGTGTAATCATCATTGCTTTATGCAAATGCACCATTTACTCTAGATACAAGATGGAATAAGACATGCTACTCACTTCAGCAATTGTTTGGGCAAGTCAAGGCTACATGTGCAAGCTGTCCTGAGACAAGTCACAGGCTCCTCTCCTGCCTCTGCACTGCACATCCCCAGTGAGAAAAAATTAGGAGAGGGAACAAGGTGAGAGGCACACTGAGGCTGCAGGCAGGGAGCCTGCACTGTGGGTTTAGTGGGGATGCTGCCTTTCCCTTCTGTGAATAGACTCAAAGATGACAATGAGGGTGTCAAATAATGATAAAGAGCAGTAATCCTGCCAGTAGTAATAATTAATGCCTCTATGGTGACCTTCATTCATTGACCTCTAATCACTTTGTATACATTGACTAAAGCTGTATGGTTTCTCTGAAATAGATCAATATCATTTTTATTTACTGCCATAAACATATGTATATATAAAAGTATAAATAGATGAAACAATAAATTCTTATTAAAAAGCAGTAAAAATCACTTGGCTTAAGTGTTTTCAAAAAAAACACTACCAACAATAAAGAAACAACAAAGCATCTGAATGTCTAATACACTGGGTTTGAGGATGCAGATCCTCCTGGTGAATGAGGGGACTCAGGCATTTTCTTTGCTGTTTCATGAGAAAAGTCCAGATATAGAAATGTGTATGAAACCAATATGAGAAGCCGAATGGTTGACTGGATGAGACCATGTGTATAAAGCATATGTAGCTTTTCCATAATGCTGAGAATCATTCCAAGGAATCATAGCAATTGTAGTTTTCATTGCTTACATAATGTGCACTGATCAAGGCTAGCAACATAGGTAGGAATATAAACTGTCTTGTTCCCTTCCCTGCAGGAGCAGATATTAAGAGTCGTGATATTGATTAAGAACAATTCCTATTTAAAAAATACAATGATTGTGTTACTAGTGTATTGTATCCTTTTATTTTAGGTTATTCAATACTTCAAGCAATTATGGAAAAAGCGGGACAAAATAGCTGGCAAGTCAGTGCCATCTGTGTGGAGAATTTTAATGATGCCAGCTACAGGCGGCTTTTAGAAGATCTGGACCGAAGACAAGAGAAGAAATTTGTAATAGACTGTGAAATAGAGAGGCTTCAGAATCTCTTAGAGCAGGTAACATTCCTTTTAATGTCACTGTAAGCACATTACTGAAATTCCAGATGAGATACCACTGTGCATTGCCTTTTGTTTATTTTCTCAATGGAAATGGGATTGCCTACTCGGTCCTTTTTTTTTTTTTTTTTTTTTTTTTTTTTTTTTTTTTGCCATGGATTGAGATTTCTACATCCACTTGCTGACTGTTTGCCTTCCTATAAAGTTATTGTCCTAACAGCCAGTGCATCAGCACGGTGAGCCCTCCCTTCCCCAGCTGGCAGGTCTTTGGGGCAGCTGCACACTTGGCTTCCCAGCAGCTCCCTGCCTGATACAGCTTGCATCAGGCTCTTATGGCTGGTGGACAAACACAACACGGTGTTGCTGCATTACCATGATGCCCTCAGTCTGTACCTTCACAGGGGAAAGAAACTGGTCTTGTTTAAGGAAAAAAAAAATTGAATCCAGTATTACATATTACTTGCAATTCACAAAACTATGTATTTCTAGCTATAAATTCATTAAACTCATTACTGCATGTATTTCCAGCTACCAAGTACTTCAAACTTATTATTACATATATTTGAACTGATAGCTTTATTACCTTAGCAGAGTGTTTACGAACATGAAGAAAAGTAGAATAAACGTGCTATTTTGCTGGGAAGGAAAGTCAGGTTCTTCCATTCATGGAAAGCTGCTGTAATGTAAAGAAAATACTGGTCCAGACAGATGGTTTTGCACTGTATGGTACTTTTACTGGTGTAGGAACCTATTGCTACATAGCTCATAAATGTTGGGAAAATAAATAAAATAGTGCTTTGAAAAGTGCATTTTTCTAAGTGACGGGAAAGTAACTTCGGGTTTACTCGCTGCTCCTCTCATGATCCCACATACGAGGTTGCAAGAGCAGCGTTCAGCACCTGCTGATGCTGCAGGGAATGGATGCCATCTGCTGGTGGTGAATCCTCTGCCGCCGCCCTGCTTATCCTGGCTAGCACGTTAGGGACTTTTGAAATTTTGTTGTAAAAACGTTCATAATCCGTCTGCTACCGAAGTCACAAAAATTTAAAACGCAGTTTGTGATGCAGAAGTACATAAAATAATCCTCATAGACATATCCATGTCAAATTTGCTTTCACTGACAGAAGCTAGAGAGAAACTGAGTATTAATGGTATGGCTGCAATAACAAGGACTTTTTCTATGACTGTTGCCAAGAGAAGAATAGATGATGCTGTATTGCTATAGGCATTCATTTGGCTATTTTTTTTATTGTGAAAGCCATTATGTTTTAACACATGCTTTCTATAGTTTATGATGAAGTCCTCAAGTTCAGCCTATGTTGTAGTAAAACAGAACACCCATTTGGGCATCTTTTAAAATATATTTAGAAATATAATTTTCCCCTCAGCTTTGCATGTGTATGTGTGAATGTAGTTTCTTTTACACAGTGTACAAATGTGAATTAGAAAAAGAATGCTATATTATGCCATAAATTCTGCATACATCCACCATCCTACATAGTTGTATGTACTGAGTATCCACTCAATTGCACAGCAAAACGAAGTCACCTAGTAAGCATTCAGATCTCGCTGATCTCAGCCATATATTTTATTTCCTTCCAGGAGCTGCTACTCATTTTCTTTCTGGATTGGCCTCTACATAGTCAGTTCTCTTTGAGCATAACCTGTGCTCTTTGTTCAGATCATACAGAATTGAATTGGATATTGATTTTAATGGGATTATGTTTTGACCTCCTCTGACTTCATAAAGGTCTGGATTTTGCCTGCCTAAAATAGGTACTTAACATGGCAAGTAGTAAAAATGCAGTGCCTGGCCTCAACAGGGTGAGTCAGATATTGTGAATTTGGCTGATGGCTCTATAGGACAAGCCCGAAAGCTGCTTGAGTCCTCTTTCCATTAACTGAACTGTGGGGAAATCAAGGGTGGGAGTTACATCCAATTTACAACATGCTTGTATCTTAGCCATTCATACAAACACTTTTAGGAAGTGATTCATCTGGTTACTGTCTAATTTTGGATGGGATTAATTTTACCTAAGAAATTAGCTGTTTGGTATTTGTGCTGGTGTTTTTTGAAACCTAAATGTAAAGCCTTTGCCCTTAAATCTACGCTAATGAAAGGAAAGAAACTGATATGTGAGCTATTGAACTTCTTCTCTTCTCAGTAGTGACTACTGATATAAATAAATTTACATTAGATCTAATTAAATTGGAATGTAGATACTTCAGAATATTTCTGTAATTTGTCCAGGTCATGTGAATTTTCTTCTATTGTTCCAACACCCCTGGAGCCTCATCTTCATCCTCCATGGGCAGGAATGGTATTGTAGCCAGGCTAGGTGAAGTACATGGTCACCTGTAGCTTTACTCTCCAGTGTGGATGTCCTGGTCTTCCTAGACCAGCTCACCTGTGGGTAAGCCTGGGGTGCTGTGCTTAGCCATTGTTTTGGGGCTTCAAAATGAAAGCAGTTTGCCTTCAGGGGTCAAGTGAACAGGATGTCAAGGATAAACAGTCATAAACCTTCTTGGAGACAAAAGCATTTGCAATCTCCCAAAGACGGGAGTGAGGCAAAAAGAGTCTGGCCCAATGTAGAAAATGCAAAATAAAAACAGTTTTAAAATATCAGCCTCTGACTTTTTCATTTTGTATGAGGGCTTTAATAACCTGTACAGACAGGTAGGGTGGCCTCACAAATGGACTGAAAGTTGGAGTGCTCTTCCCTGCATACACAGAGGAATTGATTAAGCTTCAGTGACTCTAATTAACTCAACTTTTTTACTGCCTAGTTCTCCCATAATTGAGAGTCTAAGTTGTGACTATTGTAATACTTTGCAATGTACAAGTAAATGTTCTGCAGAACATTTAGGAAAAGTAATTAAATCTCAGTAATGAGACGGTAACTCAAAGTACTTTGCCCTTAAATCTATGCTAATGAAGGGAGAGAAACTGGCTTGTGGGCTTGTGGGTTTCTTCTCAAGTGACTGCCCATACATATACACATTCATACTTCTCATGACTCTGGACCTCAAGAAATGAAGACTGGAGACTTTTTCACTGGCTGTGTTCAAAGAGCGTTGCTCCCCTCTCTATATCTGGTTCACACTTATATGACCTGGTGTCTTCTGCTCATTTTCCTCTCCCAGCTGCTCAGCTGAGGAAAACAGCCCCTTGCTATTTCTTCATTTCTTCTGCAACTTTAATCTCACCATTTTCTATCTTTCTTTTGCCTCTTGTATTTATATTAGTTCATTATTTTTTCACATTATGTGTATATAGAAGCTGCCTTCACACTCCAAATTTGTGACTTGTCTTCAGGGAAAACTTGTTCTCCTGGAATAAGTGATGTATCTGAAATCCAGTCTCTGTGCACACACCAGGGTGTGCATTTTCCATTACAAGGTCTTCCTTTCAGGTTTATACATTGCTGCAGTGAGGCTGATGTTTTGGGCAAGGGCCAAACCTGTACTCATTTTAAGGGTGAAGTAAGGACAGAGAGAGCTTCGTTCATCAGTCAGATTTCCATTCTAGAAAGAGGTAACAGGTCCAGCGTTAAATACAGGAGATGTGTTCAACCTGCCCGCAAGTATTTATATCTGATTTACTTGGATTGCCTACAGAGCATTGCAGATCTTCCATCGTAATAAAATGACACGATGGTTTTCTCAATAAAGCTATACTCTGTTTTAACCATGGTCAACCACACAGCATCTACTTGATAGTGGCAATATTTGGGGGTGATGGAAACATTTTGTTTGGTTTCTTTATTATTGCCAGTTGCATTGGCTCAGCTCAAAGCGCTGTTTAAACACACCACTGGAGCAAGGCATCACTTTGAGCAGGGTCACAGGGTTACTTTGCTTCATCAGTAAGACAGTCTTCAGCCTACGTGAGTCAGTACATCTCCACCTACTGTCAAGAATCTACTGTAACTTAAGTGAACCAGGATAGTATTAGCTCCTTTTCAGACTTTCTTATAAGGATAGTGAAAGAACACCCTACGTCCTTAGTATCTTACAACAGCCATAAGAAGAAAACCTTTTTGTTGTCTGTGAGTGAAACTCCTGCTATGTACTCCTATGGCAGACCTCATCATTCTGCAACCTCAGGATGTAAAAGACAATCCACAAACATCAAGATCTTTACTATAAGATTTTCTTTACTTACCCATTTCCACTGTACTAGAAAAGACTACACAGATGAGAAGGCAGACCTTTAATTTCTCAATCATATTACTCTTTCTAATGCACAAGATTGACAATTACGAAAATCTGGAAGTTAATGCAAATGCAGTGCAGAATGCTACATGGTCTTAATTTTATGTTTTTTCCACAAAGCAGAAAATGTTATATTTTCTAACAACTGGGTTCATGAGTACTGTAATTATCACCATATGAGAGGTTTGTGTTTACTACCATTTAGATTATTACCTTTACAGTTTTCTTACCTTTACTCATGTTCCTCATGCAAGTTCTTCATGGTCCAGAAAGGAAGAATATTGCTCATACAGTGAGAAATTACAGACTCTGTGGGATATCTTCCCTTAGAGATTCCTAATTAACCCTTTATTTTATATGTTTTCCAGACACCTCTTTTCCATCCAATACCACAATACAGAGAAACTATGATCACTGGTTCCAATAGCATTGCATTTATATATGCAAGAACCTCAGAAGAGGAGACTAATTCAATAAGCATTAGCTGACCATCCCCACTTTTTAGTTCATTTGTGGTCAGGCTTGTAGTATCTGTGAAAGAGTATTTGGAAATTGAGAGCAGCTTTACCTTGTGTTCTTCTTTCACATACTATGAGGCATGAGCTCTTGACTAAAGGTGTGCATTTTTAGCTATATAATAAGTAACATTACTGTAGGAAAGTGTGGTGGATACAGTGGTAGGGATAAATTTAATATTCTCTTGCCCACTTCACCTATTTTGTTTCTTTCTAAATTTTTCTGGCAGAAGATAGCATCTCTTCCACCAGTGTTAGTGGAGAGGCATT